TAGATTCTGGGTTTGTGTTTGGTAAGTGTTTGAGTTTTTGAGAGTGTTAAAGATTTGTTCCCCACTGTCCTTGGATGTGTGTCCAGCCCAAAAAATTCCTCTTGGAGCTTGTAAATGCTTCTCTATTTATAGAGAAAAGGTTGAAGGTGTTTGAAGTAACCAGGTTTGTAGGATAACAAACCATGGTTTGGTTGAAAACGAAACAAATTTTGTCCTTTTTTGTTGATCCCAAGTAACCAGTACAAGTGGGGGCCTGTTGGCAGAAGATTTGACATATGCTTTGACACTGCTTTTCGTTCAGACATGAATCAGGTTGGAAGTTGATTTTGTGATAAAAGTACTCTTTATGAAAAAAGGGTACGTAGCCTTTTGCTATTTTAACCAAGAATGGTATTATCCAGTAGAAAAAACTTTAAACCTTTGTATAAGCCTCTGATCATATAAAGATTTGGAAGCAACATAGCCTGACAAGTAGGGTAAGACTATGAGATTTGCTTCGAAGGGTCCAGAGTTGGGTTCGAAAGATGCTGATTCAAAGGGAATCAAGGTTTCAATCGAAGCCTTGTGTGAATGTGGTTTTTGTCCAGTCGAAGACCTGCCTTCCAGAGGTTACATGGCCAAACGAAAGGGTGCATGCAGGAGGTCCCTGCTTTGGGGTGCTAGCACAAATGGGCAATTCTGCCTTGAGAGTTTGACAAACATGCAAAACCAAAGGCTTCTGAGTCGAAGGGGAATTGAAGGAGGCCATTGCTTTGTGACCTCAAACAAAACATGTAAGAGGCCTTTGCTCAAACAAAAGTTTGCCTGCCAAAGGTTCATATGGCCAAACGAACTTGCATTTGAAGGAAACCACAAGCCCAAATGAAGAATGTAAACCCAAGCTTGTCTTGAAGAAAGTCACACGCCCAAACGAAGAAAACATACATGAAGTAAAGGACACAAATGAAGCTTGCAACAAAGGGGCCACATGCCTAAACGAAAGGCATGCAAGAAGCAAAGATGTGCAATTGAAGGATGTCAAAAGGAGGCTTTTTTTGCCTTGGAATCGAAGGAGGCTACATGAGGCTCTTCCCTTGTGCCTGCTGGCCTAGTGGGCGCCTCTTGCGCATAAGAAGGGAGTTATGGCTCAATCGAAGGTTGCTTGCAGCCAACCGTTACTTTGTAGATCAAAGCAAACATGAAGGGGAATGTTTGTCCAGTCAACATAGGCATGCAAGCATCAAACATCCAATCAAAGAAGGCACATAGGCGACCATTGTATTGTGAACCATGTGAGGCCAAAGATGTAATTGAAGGTTGCATGCAGGAAGCGCATGCCTTGTGAATCAAAGCCAGTGTGCCAGAGGCCCACACCCAGTCGAAGGATGCAAGCCAAACTTGCATCGAAAGAGACCAAAAGGCCAATTGAAGGAGGTAAATCAAAGAAGACTTGTTTTTCTCCAATTTTATCAAAAATGTTATTTTTATCTGTTTCCCCTTTTTTAACAGTTTCCTTTTTAACTTGATACTGGAAAATCCAATTGTACTTGTGCAAGCTTGAATCTTGAGAATCCTTATGATAAATTCCTTGAGCAATGAGAAGGCAAATTTTGGGGTACAACAGGTGATATCAATCTTGTTCATCAAGATTGATAGAAATTCATCCTAGATATTTGGTGGATTTCCAACAATTAGAACTACTTCCAGTCTTTCATTAAAAGAATATCCGTACAGTTTTTGCATATTTGTAAGTCATTTTCTAGTTAAATATGGATAACACATAATGAGAGATGTTTGAATATCTGTACAAGGAAAAAAATAAGAAATAATTTTTTTCAAAGGCCATAGAAATTCGTAGCACTGTGTCAAACTGAGTTTTCATTGTCGCTATGGAAGACAATAGTTCTAAAACTCAGTATACAAATAAATAAATAAATTCACTTGCTTTTTCTAATCAGATTGAAATTTGATAAATCAAAATTAATTTCCTTATTCATTCAAGTTATCTCTTGTAGCTTACAATATCAGCTTGAAAAAAATCCATCTCAGGAGGTCTAACATGAACCATAATCCTCTTGAGAATAGAAAATTTGTAAATACATATTCTAATCCTGTGTGAAGAACAAAATCCTTAATCTTCTATGATGCAAAATGGAAGTCTAAGAATCGTATTTTACGGTGGCGCAAAACGAAGAGATGTAAGAGAGAAAAATTCTGAAAGTTAGATTTGTGAAATGCTTCGAATACGCATGGAAAGTATGAAATAAATGCAGCCACAATGGATACCCACAAGTTCAATATGTTAAACTGGACCCACCCCCCTCTACCCTTATGAAATTAATTGATGGGCCCGCAAATCCAGTAACCCGAGTAAACCTGACCCAAATTCCTTTTTTGTAGTCGGTTGCTGCGGATTGGGCTGAATTTTGGGTCCCTGTCTACCCCTACCTGCAACTTATCAGACCACCTTCAAGTTTTGAACTGTGAAAGTAGAATTTATTGTCTATTGGATTAGAATTCTAGCACACACGAAATCAAACCAAAACATCATAATAAACTCAAACACATGTGAGCTATACACAGAGCTATACAGTTAGAACAATAAAACTTAAATGATACAATTAGAATAGTAGAACTCAAATGATACAAACAAATCAGACTTTCCATTTATCTTATATTTAGTCTTATTTTTAATCTTGTGAACCAACTTTCCATTTGAGACAAATCCAATTTCGATTATTAGTTAAAACAACATTAACAATAATATGAAAAATCCTGTTAAACCCACCCATATCAGAATCTGAATTTTACTTATACTTTTTGAACGAAAAACACATAAGTCTGCAATGCCAAGTGATGTAGACAAAATTAGAAGCCATAACAACAATATGGAAATGATTAGTTTAACAGAATAAAAAATCATATAAAAGTTTCACATATAAAAAAATCCACAATATATTTGAAAGACATGATTCAAAATCAAAATAAGTGTTTCACAAACAAACAAAATAAGATCAAACTTATATCTAAAAAAAAAAAGATCAAACTTATTCATATTGAGAAGCTAAAATAAGTATACGTTCTTACCTGATGTAATCTCTTTGTTGTTGCAAGATCTGAATATTTTCTTCCTTCAATTGCTTTAAGAAATATGAACATTTCTCATGGATGAAGATCATAAGTACTCTGTATCACACAATGAAAATGAATCAATGATTAAATATATCTAAACTGCATCACAATGAAATATCAGAAAAATCAAAACCCTAAAATCGAAAAAATCTAAAAGTCAGAATCTATCTTAAAACAAAGATACACCGACTTTCTCCTACGGTGGTGATGATGATGACGACGATGATGAGTAGTGATTGTCAGGGAAGGAGAGACGGTGCTTGGCGGTGAGATCGCTCAAAACAAAAATCCAACTAATTCATTGGGAAGCCCGTGAATAGAGGAATACGAAAATGAATTTAATTTTTTTATTTAAGGTGGTGGTGGCCGGAGAAAGGGACGACGACCGCTAGGGTTTAATGGAAAGAGAAGGGAGACGAGAGAAAATGAAAGAGAGAGAAAGGGAAATATTGTGACAGCAAAAGAGAGAAAGAGAAAGGTTATGTGTAAGGTTGGGTTGAAGAGAAAAAAGTATTTTAATTTGGACCAATAAAAATCAAACAGTTGGGACATAAACTCAGAGAAAGCTGAAAAGTGAAGACTTAATTTGTTAATTACTATAATGTCTGTTTTGCAGTACAATATTTTTTTGAGAGAAGGGAACTTTAGGTAGTTTAACCAACTTAATAATAAAGACTTGATAGTAGATACACTCTCCAAACACATTTATTAGTAATAAAAAACTTTTTTAATTTATTGAATAAATGATGTATCTAGTCATTATTTTATACTACATACATCAATTATTCAATGAATATAAAAAACTTTTTGTTGCTTATAAATGTGTCCAGAGAATAATAAATGTGCACTGCAATATTTTTTGAGGGAATGACACTTTAGGGAATTTGGTCAACTTAATAGTAAAAGTTTGATAATAGATAGTAAGGGTGTTTACGGTTTGGTTTGGATCAGTTTTAAGATAAAAACTCATCATATTCAAGGATAAATTTACTTGTGGTTCGGTTCAATTTTAAATGATATATTAAAAAAATTTAAACCGATCCGATTTAATTTTATGCGATTTAATTTATATCGATTTTTAGATATCCAAATTACTATACATTATATTTTTATTAATATTATAAAACTATTAATAAATCATAGATTTGATATAATATATAACATATAATATATTAAAAATGTTCATATTATCAAATGAGTGTGATCGATTATAGTTAAAATAATAAAAATAAATATATTACATCAAACTAATAAATATTATTAAAAAAATTATTATCATCTAATAATAAATTCACGTAACATATCATACTAATAAAAAAGTAAAAAAAATATAAAAATATATGTAAGTAGTTCGGTTTAATTTGAATAATTTTTTTATCAATTTTTAATTTTTAATTTAGATTGATTTATATTTGAACACTTCTAATAGATACAAAATGGTGTTTGTATCTTAGTTAAAAAAATACACTTTTAATTCGTTTATTAAACCATAATTTTTCCTTCTATACTCTCACACACTCTACTCTCTCTCTAGTAGCTAATTCTTTGGTCTTATCACAATACTCGTATGAGTGATGACAAGGACTTGGCGGTCACGCGGATAACAAAGATGAAAAGTACAAAAAAAAAACGTAAGCTTCATGTTCATGTATGTCTGTATGTCTGGTCACTCCTGCAAACTTAAATAACCTTTGTCAGAAAACCTCTGACACCACTTTACTACCTTTCCTTCTCCTTCTCTCTCTCAAACTAGACACTTTCATTGAAAAGTGAAACATAAAATAAAGCATTTTCTTTTTTACTTCCATCATCATCATCGGTATAAGCATCAGCATCAGCATCAGCATCACAAACAAACAGACTCACTGGGAAAATAAAAACCTCATTCAATGTTCACAATGGAAGCTAACACAACTGGTTTCATTCCACTCTCTTCCCTTTTCTCTCTTTGTTTATTTTTTTCTTTTTCTATCTTATTCTTTATATTTGTGTTATGAACTATAAAGTTTGTGTTTTTTTATGAGGGTTATGTAGGAGGTGGAGCACTGAAGAAGATAAAGAATGGTGAAATTGAAGAAGGGAAAAGGGTTGTTTTTGCAGTGAAACAAGAGATAGAAAGAAACCCTTTGATCACAGAAGCTCAAAGGCGTGAACTTGACCATCAAGTTTTCATTTTTAATCACTTTGCTTATAACCTTCCTCTTCCTCATTACCTTTTGCAGTTTCCAACTCTTGTGTCAGGTTTGTGGAAACTTCTTGTCACACCCTTTTCAATTTTTTACTATTACATTGGAAATTGTTATTTGTTGCTGTGAATGAATGCATTTTCCATTCTTTTTGTTTGAGAAAGGGTATATTTTGGAATTGCATGGATAATGAATTTAAACAATTATTAGGTTGAAATGTATTTCATGTTTCTATTTGGAACTAATTAGTATTACCAGTTAGGTTGGACGTGATCATCGGGGTTCAATTTGTGGTTGTGTGTGAGTTTCTAGTGATTATTACCACTTTGTATACGGTCGCAGGGAAAATGCTTTAAGAATTCATTAGTGCAAGAGTCTGTTTCTGATATTTTGATGTTGAAAATGTCTCTTGTTTATGAAATTGTAAGATACTAATTGTTCTGATTTATTATTTTCGATTGTAGAATACGGTCGTCGAGGTTCTGATTACAGGACTATGTTGGATTCAGAACCACATAGGTGTAGAAGAACCGACGGAAAAAAATGGAGGTGTGGTAAGGACACAATACCTAATCAGAAGTATTGCGAACGCCACATACATAGAGGTCGAAATCGTTCAAGAAAGCTTGTGGAAACATCTCAACTTAACTCTCCTAATTTGAAAACAAAGCCTAGTAATGTTAGCTCACTTGCAAAACAAGTCTCGAAAATTGAGCCTGCAGTTTCAAATCCAAACCCTTTGGTCATTCAACACAGCCATGCATTCTCATACACCCCATCGAGGAGATTATGTGTTGTAAATAATCTGTCCAGTTGTAATCGACCGAGAAATGCCATAAGTTCTGATGCCACATTGGTGACTGTGGTGAGCGCTTCCTCGATCCTTCCCCCTGCAGTTAGACCTAAGGTGACCACTGCCTCGATCCTTCCCCCTGCAGTTAGACCTAAGGTGACCACTGCCTCGATCCTTGCCCCTGCAGTTCGACCTAAGGTGACCACTTCCTCGATCCTTACCCCTGCAGTCCGACCTAATGTGACCACTGCCTCGGTCCTTGCCCCTGCAGTTGGACCCAAGGTGACCACTTTCGGAGGCATGTCATCCCTTAATTCGGATAACAGAAATCGTCTAAACGTATGCAAGCAAGGCTTCTCTCCAAAGAGTGTCCTTCAAGGTAATACTGATAAGGTTGCAAATTTTTTCTTAATGAGATTAGAGAATTCGAATTGCATGGGTTTGTTTTACTTTATACAAAGTGCGAGTTTGTGTATCATACACAAACTTCGGCCGGGTAGTGTATTTAATGTATCTATTTTGTGTGTCAATTTTCTGCTGTAATTTCAGTTTCTGGTTGCAATGGTTCATACCTCAACGATAGGAACAGTATAGTAGAACCTGAACCCGGTAGATGCCGAAGAACAGACGGTAAGAGATGGCGATGCAAGAGCGCAGTTCTTCCAGGTCAGAAATATTGTGCAACACATATGCACAGAGGTGCTAAAAGACGTGCAAACACCGAATCTTCTCCTTCCGCCATTGCTACTACAACTGCAGTTAGTTCAGATGTTACCATTGCTCGGCTGCCTTACGCTGCAGCAGCAACCGACATTCAGAAAGCTGACTGTCGAATTCCAAACACACAGCTTTCAATGCCAGTTCCAGAAAGTGCAGCACAATCCTTAGAATGTAAGAAGAAAAGTGGCGGCGGAAGCAGTGACACTGATACTAGTACTACCATCACTGACGCCATCGACGAGTGTAGCTATCTTTCTTTCTGAGTAGCTGAGTTTGATTTCTCAAAACATGTTTAGTGTTTATATATGAATGAAAATGTTAACTTATCAGCATGCTGAGATCAGTTTTGTGTTTGGTGAACAATGGTCTCTTACATTATGAATAGGTTAACTAAAATTTCTTAGTTGCAGCTTTTTGAGGCTTAAATATTCTTTATCTCCTTAGGGAAGGTTAACTCAGTTTAGAAGGAGTGACTCATATACACGACGGTTACGGATTCGACTCCCGTTGTCAATGTGAGGATGTCTTTGGTGATGTGAGGATGTCTTTGGTGGGTGATTTGTAAGTACATTTGTAAGCATTGTTTGAGTCTTGAGGTCTTCTCGGACTCAATGATGAGCCTCTGGAATCAAACTCGCCTAAATTTTTTGTAAAAATAAATCCTGATTTGTTGGAGACTATAAAGCACGAATTCTGTCACAGACACCATGACATGACATTCTGACACCAATAGTATAAAAGACACCATGCAGGACACCAATAGTATAAAAGACACCATGCAGGACACTCTGATCTCCGACACTGATAGTATAAAAAACGTAGAACAAAAAATGCATAAGGTGTGTTGAAGCAATACAGATAGTGAAAGAATAAGATGATTTGTGAATGAACAAAGAATGGTCAAATTGAGATTGTGTGAAACCTTTTGAAATTAGGACAGTAGACAATTTTGCAAGGGAGTTGCTCAATAGACCTTTATATAAGCATACTACATTTTTTAAAATCTAAAATTGTCTTTCATGCATCTTTGAACTTATCAAATCACAACCAAAATGCGATATTCTCAGACCCACCATAATTTTGAATAAAATATGGTTTGGAGATGCATTTCTATATGGTACTTGAGTGCATTCGGAGATATATATTCGAAATGTCTTCTGGAAGTTTTTGAATGTGTGGTAAATATAAAGGAGAACTATTTTGGAGATGTATTTCTGGAACCCTGATTCACATCAAAACAACACCATTGTCCAAACATTCGATTTTTGTGAGACCAACTTATATTAACGTAAAGTCAAAGTAAAATTAAAGTTAAAGAAGGGTAAAAATTCATACATTAATAAAAAGTCCAAATAATTCATACATAACAGGAGTCTCAAATACATCAGAAAATACTATAAAAAAAATCTCAATATAAACTACTAGGTATGTCAAATCGCCTGCCTCCTCCGCCACCTGTACTGCATAATATTCTGTAACTTGGCAACCATGGTTTCCACGATGGCTAACTGAGGAGAACCATCCTCAAAGAGTCCCGCCTCTATGGCTTCTTTACCCATCTCTGCAACATGCTCACATACCACTCTCACGCTCTCTGTCTGTTCATCCCGAACCTCAAGTACCTATTGGTTAGTTGGCCTAGGTGGTTCTTCATGAGTGTCATGATAGTGTGTGATACCCTATAGAGTCATCAATGCTCCTCTGGTACTAGGTGACTCTCAAAATCATTCAGTATCGCCTGTAGGTCTCTACGAGGGACAGTGGAAAGAGCAACCACACATGGAGGTCTTAAAATTATCTGAAAATAGCTAAACGGACGCATCACTCACTCTGAAAAATAAAGACACATAAGAAATGATCCACAAGCTAGTCAATCGGAGTATAAGGAGATGGCGTCAAATGGACGCGTTTGGCGACGACCCTCGTATGAACAAAAGCAAACATCATCTGGTACCATATGGTTAAGAGAGACTCTAAATTACTCGACCGCACCATTCCTCCTGTACGAAACAAAAGCAATTTCACGTGGCCAGTTCTGTGTGTATTTAGGTGTAGCTTCCCACTCAGTGATGCGAGGGAAGTGGGAGATGATCCATCTCTGGAAATATTTCAGATACAATATTGATAACAAGTGTAACAAATGAATTATAAAAATATTAGTAACAAGAAATTACCGTAAGCAGCGTGCAACACCCCGTCAACTTCTTTATCTTCCAAAGACAACCCTCGCCCAACTATGAGTACAAGTAGATCAAACAGGTGGCTCTCCAGTTGTACTCGTGAATCGCAATTAGGTTTGTGAAGTATTTGAGGTATACCACATCGATATATGTTACACTTTTTTCCACAAATATGGACGTGCCAACCAAGAACAAGAGGTAACACTTCAAAATGCAATGTCAATGGTACTCAACCTGTCCCTATTAGCCATGATCACAATAAAAGGAATGAGGTATTGTAGCGGTGAAAAGTTTAAGCTATTGATTAACTTAACTCAAAAAGTGAAAGTCACCACCATACTTTATTGTTTCCAAAGGAATGGGAAAAGAGCGAATAATATCCAAAGAATTTTTTAAAACAAAAACTAATAAAAACAAATATTTAGGTATGATGGTTGATTATGAAAAGGGAAGGTATTAGCATCTGTTGTACCCCAAAATTTGCCCTCCCATTTTTCACAGAAATCACAACCCTAGGGTTCCTCAGATATTCAAGAATGGCTCAGGAATCGATCAGACAAATTTTCTCCTTTGGCAACAAACCAGCAATTAGGTTTTTACTTGCAGTTCTCAGAAGAAATGGACTCACAAAGATCCAATTGGCTTTCACACGTTCTCATGCTTTTTCAAGTTTACTAAAAGATTACTGTTTGTTCTCAAGGCATATTCATTTGGGACAAGAGATGGGATCTAAGACTGTCATTTGGAATATTCATGTTTTGTTTGATCCAAGTTAATCAGATAATTTGCGTCTGTTAAGACATTTGCTTGTTTATGGAATAAACATTTGTTTGAGGAATACACAGTGCGTGTTCATTTGGAATGCAGTGGCAAGATTACATGATCACTGGAATTTAAGTTATCTTGGTTGGAATTATTGAAATACAGTTTCAATTATCTTAATCAGGAATCTTAAAGAATTAGTGAAGATGCGAAGAGAAAATTGCAAGTTATTGACAGTAAAGGATTCTAATGGACATTAGAATATTTCATAAGACTTTTTTCATTTATTTCAAAAATTGTTACAATACAATTTATTGTTTAAATGCTTTAAGTTTTACAATTTATTGTATTTGAAAAATAAATTAGTACAATTATTTGAGTATTTCTATCTAAATTACAAAGGAAAAATCTAAGCCTAAGAATGACTAAGCTTCCATGCATGCCAAAGAATCTTCTGCTTCCTCTGCTTTGCCACCATCCAGTTTGCGCTCACATGAAAAAACAAAAGACAGAAAATTAATTAGCAGTTAATTGGATATGAATAAGAATCTTCAAAAGAAAAAATGTGTTCATCATTAAAATTTGCAATTTGGAATCAGAAGGCTATTTTTCATTCATCACATTTTTATTTCTATTTGCAAATCACAAGAAGATTATTCTTCTTGGTTCACAAAAAGAGAAATAAAAATGCAAGCAAAGCTGTCCAAATAAAAATGCAAGCAATTTATCATAATACAAGCAAAGCTGCCCAAACAAGTGAAAATATACAAGCAGCATGGCCAAACAAGCGGCAAAAAGAACAAGGCGCAAACAAGGCCAAACAAGCAGCAGCGTGGTCAAAAGGAAAACATGCAGCAAGGCTGCCTAAAACCAGACAACAACATAACAACAAGAATAGGACAGCAGCATCATCGCACCAAATGGCAAGCAACATAGGCAGTAGCGGACAAAAGAGCATAAGCAAGAAGAAAATATAAAACTAAGTCAACAAGCAAGAGGCTTGTTCATAAGCCATTTCATCATTTTCCAATTAAAATTGCAAACTTTTCAGAAAAAGCACTTGGCTTAGGGTCATTAAGAGAGGAAGAGGAAAGAAGTCACCTAGGGGATGCTGCCCTGCTGTCACAATTGCACTAAAAATGCTAGCAAACAAAACTGCAAGGAAAAGAGCCTAAGAAGAAAATACCCAAAGTATTCAAAATTTGGTGGTTTCCCACCATTTTGAGTAAGCTGCAAAACTGTAAAGAGGCAACATAATATAACAGTAGATAAAGGCTCAAGAAGGAGGAGGAAAACATTTTTTTATCAAAAACTCTCTCAAAAACTGTCAAAAACCTTCAAGCTGCCCAACCATTTTAAACTGTCAAAAATATCCCAAAACCATCCACAAAACCTGTAACTCAGCTCACAAGGCCAAACTGTCTAACATAGCAAAACCAAGAAAAAATCACAAGGCCGACACTTTCAAACTCTCAAACCTCCAAACCTGTTAAACCATAACCAACAGCAACACAGAAAAAATTATCAAACATCCAAAACTGCAACCATCAAACCTAGTGAAGATACAAAAACCAGTTCATAACCAAACTGTCAAAAATCCCAAAACCATCCACCAAACTTGTAACCCAGTTCAAACATTCAAAAACCTGTTAAACAAAAGAGCATAACAAAATTGTAAAAACCAAACCTGCAAAACCATTGTTCAAACCTCTAAACCTGCCCAACAAATCAAAAAAAGAACCTCCAAGTTTTCACAACCTTCATAGAGGCCTCAAACTGTCAAACAAAAACAGTCCAACATCCTCATCAACCCAAAACAAAATCAACCAAAACATTCAATTTGTAACCAAAACCAACAGAACCAAGTATCAAAACTTCCATCAAATACAACAAAACCATCAAAACCCAGTTCAAACATCCAAAACATATAACTCAGTTCAAACATCCAAAACAACAACTTTCAGAAAATATCCCAAAAAAAAACTGTCCAACCATTACCAACCATTCTCAAAAACCATTTTCAATACAAAGCCACAAAATCTCAAACTTTCACAAACGGTATCAATCCAAAAAAAACAGTTCAAAAACCAAATGGCCTAAGAACCATCACAAAGTCCATCAACAATACCAAATTCGTCACAACCAACAACAGTTCAAAAAAAACCAAAGGGGCTAAGGACATAAAGAGACTCAGAAGCATCATCATCATCATTCAACATAAAGGACAGAAAAAGAAAAAGTTACTAGAAGCGTGCATCCTTCGTCATCATTTCTTCTCTCCTCCTTGCCAAGCCCGTCACCAAGGAGCACCATCAGCTCAA